CAAGACAGCCGCTCGTTCCTTTGCCTCTCCGAAATCCAAATTGCGTATCTGAAAGTAAACCATTCGACTCGACCCATTTGTCTAGACGAAAAAGAATCATTTTCTCCAACAATTTCCGTATACAGGACAGCATCGCGATGGGACGGTACGAGTTATAATCCGACGCGGGTTTACCGGGTTTTCGAATGGCGATAACTCTTACTTGCCTCCAGTCATCCGGAACAATGTTGTGCTCCAGAAATTGATTGAATAAGTTCAACAAGCGTCTCTTCGCGACATCTGGGAGATTTTTAAGCAAGTTGAACTTGATTCTATCCATTCCTGGAGCTGAATTGTTACATGAAAGGAGAGCAAGTGAGAATTCCACCATCGAAAACGGGGAATCTATTTCGTTATTACCCGACGGACGATAACGAACGTTGGTTTGGACCGGTACCGAATCCGGGCAAACTTTCCGCGCGAAGCTGAATATCCAACTGTCCGAGTACTCCTTGTCTTCGTTAATCGGTGATGACGCGTTTCGCATTCTCCTGCCGACATTCCAGAGTGTTCTCATGGAAGTCTCTCGCGACAAACCATCGACGAACCGACGCCAGTAACCGCGTTTTTTTGCTTTAATTAAGTCCTTAAAGGTTTTCTCGAGGTCGGTGTACCGCTCGAAATCCCCGACCTTACCGTGTTTGCGGAAGCGTTTAAACGCGGCGGACTTCTCGCTGTTCGCGTCGGTGCAATCCTTATCCCACCACGGGGTGGGAGGTCGCTTGCGGACGGAAACACCCGGAACACGTTTCGTCTGTGCTCGCAGCGCAGAATCGATGATAAGACGCGCGAGAAAGGAGTACTCGTCCAGCGGAGGAAGTACGTCAACCGATTGACTGGCATCAAGAACCGCGGTCGCGAATTTTCGCCAGTCAATGTTTTTCGTAAGATCGTACGCGATGTCGACCGAGCGAGTAGAAGATGAACCATTGGTAATAGAAATTTTGATTGGCAAATGGTCACTACCGTAGGGATCTTGAATTACTTTCCACGAGCTCCAACGATAGTGAACTCGAACAAAGTGAGAGGTCTAATCTGCTTATTTTTGCTGGAGGTTTGGCTACTCGTGTTGCTTCCCCGGTGTTCAGAATTGTCATTTTGAAGAAGTCGCACATGTCGTATATCAAGGTTGAGCGGTTGTCGTCGTACAGCTCCCCCCCAGCCTGTACCGTGAGAGTTAAAATCTCCCAAGATCAACCGTGGCTCCGGCATAGCCGTGCAGATATCCGCGAAACTTTGACGAGAGATCGCGGTTTTCGGTGGAAGATATACTGAGGCAATACTGAGGCATTTACCTCGAATATTAACCTGACATGCAACTACTTCAATGCCTGTCACTGAAGGCAGATCGATTCTATAGAAGGAATGGAGCTTGTTGATCCCCAGAAGCACCCCTCCATACGAATCTGCGCGGTCAAGCCGAATAATGTTGAAATCGTGGAAAGCAAGATCGTTGTCTGAAGAGAGCCATGTTTCACAAAGGGCAAATGCATCAGAAAGTGAGTTGTTAACTAAAAATTTAAATGTGTCAAGTTTTGGCATAAGACTTCTACAGTTCCACTGAAGAACAGAGATCATATCCCCGACCTCATTTGGAGAAGTATCCATCGAAGGATATGATCGATGCAAGGAAGGACCACCTAGAAGCTAGTTGCTTCAAAAGAGTTTTCACCATTGGCAGCACTAAATTAATAATGCTCCTCGTTGAGTCAGAGATATTGAATATACTGAAGAAGCTATCCACAATATCAGAAAACGTGAACATGGGAGCATGTTCTTGCTGATTATTCAGCTGATTTTCTGGCCGAAAAACTGGAACATCTGGGGTTTTAGATGATCCTGGAAGTGACGGAAAGTTCTTGTCATAATTACAAGGTTTAAAACCCGGTGGAATGGGTTTCGGTGCATTTCCGTTACCTCTTGATTTTTCCAAGGTGGAAGGGTGGTCCGTACGAGTGGCCTTACGAGGCTTTTCGGTGGTGTGTTTTTTTGCTCATTTTCTCGTATTGCCTTTAAAGACAAACGGAATACCCTCACCGCCCTCTGAGTCAGAGTCTAGATCATCAACTGGCAAAATGGAGAACGTGTTACTGTTTTTTGGTGTGGTCTGAGAAGATGAAGCGGTATTCTTCAAGAGTTCTGCTATTGTTCTCTTGGAGCGAGCTTGCAGAGACCGCTTAAGTTTTTCTCCCTGCTGTTTATACCTCGGGCAGTTAGTCAGGGTATGCAGGCTCTCCTTGCAGTACACACATTTTGGAGGAGCACCGCAAGAGCCCTCTTGATGTTGCTCGCCACACTGATCGCAGCGTGGTTTGTTCGAGCAGTAGTCCGATGTGTGACCAAGTTGTTTACATTTAGAGCAGTTCATTACCCGAGGTACAAACAGACGTACAGGCAGTCGAACCTTGCCTATAGCGACGTAGTGAGGTAACGCTGAACCCGAAAAGGTCACACGAAACGAGTTCGACAAGGAATACGATTTTTTTGAGCCTACGATGGATACTGACTGCATTTGAAGGCAGTCCAATATCTTCACCTTCGGCAAAGAACGGTTTTTAAAGATTCCGAAGGAATCGGAACCCATGAAATCGTCACTAGTCAAACTCGCTTCGGTGACCACTCCTTCAATTTCTACCTCACTACTGGGTATGTAGACTCGGTATTCCAATGAAAAAAGCTCGCACGCAACAATTTGGTTAGCCTGCTTCCGGTCATCAACGGTAACGCGCAGTTTTATTGGTGTTACCTTGAAAATATCGGTAACGGCCGAAAAATGTGTTGTTAGATCCTTAGAGATCCTCGGAATGTTCAAAGGTTTTTGTTTGGGCCGGAAAAAACAACCCATGGGCCTTTCGAGGCTTCTGGGTAAGCCTTTAGGCGGGGGAGCGCAGAGGTTTTCGGGGGCAATGGTGTGGGAGGTGCAGGTGGACGAGGAGGAGATGGTGGGGGAGAGGGTTGTGGGCGATACCTTTTCTTAGGATATGCTCCAGTATTTTTGCTGGAGAGCGAGTCAACTGGAACGTCAAGGGTTTCCATTTCCACAACTTCCTCGAGACTTTCGTGTGAGGTGAAATTAAGAGTTTCGTCGTCTGAGATGGAAAGCGACCATCCCCCGCCTTTATCATTTTCATCCATTGCGGTTAAATATCGCCGCAATGGTGTTTTTGATAAATATTTTTCAAATAATTACAATAATTCCAAATAATATCAAAAATAGAAAAAAAAAAATGCTAAAAAAAAAGCAAAAAAAAAATGATATAGTTTTACTCTACTAAAGAGTAATACGAAAGGAAGAAAAAAAAAAACCAAGAAAAAAAAATAGAAAAAAATATACATACTGAAAAAAAAAAATTTGGATCACCCTAACTACCCTAATAAAAATTGTATGGTTAATTTGCTTAACGACGTGTTCTGGGTATCATCCAAACCATTTGTGGAATAGTTCAATGATTAGGGTTATCGTTCGTTTATGGTTATTTTTTATTAGGGTATGCTCTACTTAAAAATAGTACGAGAAAAAAAAAATCAAGAAAAAAAAATTATAGATATATACTATTTACAAAATTTTGGATCACCCTAATTATGACCCAACCTAATCTAATATTGGACCATGCGGAGAGATGCGATACTGGTGAAAACAAAGCGACACGTTATACCTATTGCACTGAGGCGGCAATTGTTCGCCCCAACGGCTGTTGGGTCGATAACCTTGTAACTGGTATGCCTCGGTCGCCTCGGTAGGCAATTTAACGTGCTTTCGTTGTTGCTATCAATGGGATGATGTGATGATGCGATGATGATGAGATAAAGCTGGACCGTAATCAAAGCGCTCGGCGTATGACTAACGGCTTCCTCACTCGCGCACTAGTTGTCTTAACACTATGCCAACTAACTTTGGCGAGAAAAAACCCTCGCGTGGGGAAAAACTCAAAAACTCAAATACTAGTGTCGTACAACGAGACCGAGGCGACTTGACCGGCTCAGCGTGCGAAACGGAATGGATCATCGGCAACTTGAAATCAGCAGCATTTTGTAGTGCGTGTGTTTCATTTCAAGAAAACCCTTGATTGAAGCTGAAAGCCTAAAGAATCGTTTGAATGCATTCAGGGAAGTGTTTACGTGAGAAAATCCAATGAAATTAGCGATTCAATTTGGGTTGCCGAAAATAGTCTGTCATACCGAAGCCGTCGGTTTCCCTAATAGTAAAAAAAAAATCCAAATAAAACAACGAAAAAAAAAACTTCCTTGTCCTTTTGTATGAAACACCTTTAGTTATGTTCAACTTCAACGGAGATTTCCAAAGTTGGAGTAGAAACTGCATAAGTCAACGTCTGAATGGTGAATGGCAATTACTGATGTACGTCGTTCGGGGCTATCCAGTACTTTACGATCGCTTATGGCCGCGACAATCGGGCTGAGTTTCTGGTAGGGAACATAAGATTTGAAGTTTGGCTTGTGTAGTTTGACGTGTAAACGAGCAAATGTTCGTGGCGGCCATAAGTGCTCGTAAAATGCTGGCTGGCGTTCGAGGTACAGGTCGGACTCGATTATCCAGAGTATCGATTTTTTTTCACTCCGGATAATCAAATCCTCCGGATAATCGAATCACAAAAAAAAAAATTAAAATCTGCCCCTCCTCTTAGCTACATCCAATATTGTTAAAATAATTATATTGTACATTATAATACTAAATTATTTCAAATGTCTGCATAAAAACTAAAAAAAACGCAAAAAAAAAAATACTCCGGATAATCGAGTCTAAAATTTCGGATACTCGAATCCCTGATAATCGAGTCGACCTGTATACCATATACATTCGGGGTAGTGTCACAGAATCAGTAAAAAATGTTACTCAGTGAGTGATACGATATAACCGTGTAGAAAAGTGTATGCATGCTGAATGAAAACATCAGAATGTTTGACTGTTTTGATTTATATTAAAGTTTTGGATATCAGGCAGTTCTTATACATCTAAACTGTAACATATAAGTTAATTAGTGCTGTAAAATATTGTACTCAAAGTATTGGCATTAACCTGCATTTACGACTGTATCTTCCGGCTCATTGTTTCTCATTTACATGTGTGTAAAAAATAAGTTAAAAATACCTCCTTCACTTTCTCACGTAAAGCAGTAAACAAAATCAACACCCTCGTTAACGCCAACTCGTATCCAATTTGTGTACTTAATCGTTAAGTAGCGTTTTTCTAACGGGACCACTGCAGCTGCACAACCTGGTAGATATCTCAGCCAATATGGTTGAATGTGATATCTGCCTTGAGGACTACCAGGAGGGCGATTTGGAGCTGCATCGGGAGGTGTGCGTGGTACGGTTGATGTTCCGATGCTCGCTATGCAACGGGGACTATGTGAGCAAGGAAGGCCTGTGGAATCATCTGGACCTGCATGAAGTAATAAGCAATTAATCAATGATGCATTCGTTATAGCTAATCCATATTAACCATGTATTCGTCGAAAGATTGCAGATGAAAGCAAGGAACTGCACTATCAGGAAATAAAAGCAAAACACAAACTGCATCAATGTGTTTTGTGCAATGACCAACGTGCTTATTCGGAGAGTCCCTACTGGAAGCACGTTCATGTAAGTGATCGATTTCAATACAAATGAGTTGTTATGTAGTATGTAGAATCAAGCTTGTAAATGCTCATTACAGCTAAAATGCAATTTGTCGTCATTCTGAAATTATGAGATACAATAATGATAATTTTTATTTGTAAGAAGCGGTGGTCAAGTTTGTGTATGACATATAATATTTGTAAATGTTGCTTTCAGAAGGTCATAACTAGCGATTTTATGATAGCTGATTGCTCGCTCGTCGCGATTGCTCATCGTTACAGCTAATCGCTTTTGTGACCCTCAGAAAGCTAAATTGACAGGTTTCATGTGTCATATACACACTTTACCTTCTCTTCTTGCATCTTGTAAATAAGAATTTCATTAAAGTATCTCATAACTTCAAAAATCCGAAAAAATAGCATTTTTGCTGTAATGAGCATTTGCAAGCATGTGTAGAATAATTGGTTCGCATTACAGGACGTTCACGATGGCTTCTTTCTGCGGTGTTCTGATTGTGGGGAAAACTTCCAATCCGAATCGCTTAAGAATGATCATGACTTTCGTCATTGTAAGGCCAGGGATAAAACGGTAACTGCGGACTTTGATGCCCTGAAAGAGGCACAAGTTCCTATTAAAGTGGAAAATATGACTTCTGATGCTGATCATTTGAAACGTGGAGAGCTGAGCAGTAATGCAAATGAAGAACTTCATAATCGATTGAGTGAGCATTCGCGTGTTAATTTGAATACGGACCACGATGCGGACAATAATATTGACAAGGAATCCGGATTGCCTACTTTTAATTCGGATAAAAGCAAGGATTTGCGGTCAAAGTTTGCTTGTGATATTTGCGGAATGAAATTTTCTTCAAAAGGCTCATTTCTTCGTCATAAGGTATGTGCTATGTTGAATGGAGAACGGCTTCAGTCATCCGAGACCCTATTCCAAGCACGGGGTTTTTCTGAAGAAATTTAATCAGAAATCGATCCAAAAGAGGGTTACACTATGTCACATCATAGAAGTAGAAAATGAGCGTAGTAAATTGTTGTTTTTCCCATGCTTGAAATAGGGTCGGGAGAGGATGAGCCAAAGTCGTTCGCCACCCTGTGTCGAAATTCTACTCCGTTATTATTTTCTGAGCAATACTTTCTTCATCGCCATAACAGAGGGCCAAATACGCGTGTATCGAAAGAATGCAGCAAAAATGTCCCTGTTGCCGGAGAGCATTCCAGATAAAAGAATATCAAGCTCACTTTGCATTATGTGAGAAGAAAAAATTTTCATGCACATTATGTCCAATGAAGTTCCATACTTCAGTGAGCCTTGCGAGACATAACAGCTATTATCATCGTCGTAAACGAGCTCCAATGAACGAGAAGCAAGATCAAAATCAAGTTAAGAATATTATGGACAAAACGATAAATTCGGCTGCTGTCTCCAGTTCGGATTCATCCTCTAGCTCGAATGTTGTTGAAGGTACAGATATTAATACGGCCAAGAAGAACATCGTAGATAAGACATCAACAGGCACAAAGTGTTTTCACTGTGACAAAGAGTGTGCGAGAGCTAGTATTTTACGTTATCACATGTTACAGTCTCATCTGCCGGCCATGTGTAAAGTTTGCGGCATCACTTTTGAAGGCGCTAGAAGAGCCCGATATCATAAGGTTTGTATAATTCATAATAATTGCTTATGCTTTTCTCAAGATTACGTCATTTTTTTTTAATTGAACTGACAAAAAGTAGCTTAATTTTGTTTTCTTTACACAAGTAGAAGCAAATTTGGATCATGTGCGAAATTATTGTTTATATTTGTCCTTATGTAATACTGTTTTTATTTTTCATTGCAGATTAAGAAACACACGAAACCCAAGTACGAGTGTGCTAAATGTTCGAAGACATTTCACTTTGCATACAAATATACGGCTCATTTAAATATTTGTGATGCAGTTCAGGGTGAGTGTTCGATACTTATCCTGAAAGACAGGAGTGACCCAAAAGTTACGGCAGAGAATCCTTCGAGTGAATCATCCTGTGCCAAATGTTCCCACTGTGGATTAGAAGAGTCCAGTGCCGATGCCCTAGTTCGTCACATTCTAATCCACCATGAGCCAGTCGCATGTGATATCTGTGGAATTACTTTGCCCAGTCTTTTGCAGGCTCTGCATCATAAGGTTTGTAGACTGAGTTTTGAATGTTCTTCAATTTATCTATCCTCTAATACAGCGGTTCTCAATCTATGGGACGCAATCCACCGGTGGGTTGCAGAAATTCAAAGAACATTGCATTTTTTTTTCTAAATTTAGAGCATAATTTCTCTGAATGTTTTAATTAGGGAACATCTCAAGTAACATTGCAAGTTTTAAAGTGGTTTTAAAGGGTGATACGGTCAAAATTTGGTCAAGGGAAAACGCGTGTAAATCGGTGAAATCGTTTATTTAAAAAATCAAATTAAATTTCTTTTTCAAGTTCAATTAGTATAAAATTCAGGAAAAATATTCAGTTAGGCTTCCGCTTTTCCAAATCCGAATTGCAGGGCCTTACGCTTGACCCCTGCCATCAGATTTTGTACAGCCACCTTGTCCACCTTCTTCGCCGCAGAAAGCCAGTTTGCCTTGAACTGCTGCTCGCCCTTAGCAGTTTTTTGGTCTTCTTTAGGTTCCGCTTGACAATAGCCCAGTATTTCTCAATTGGGCGGAGCTCTGGCGTGTTGGGAGGGTTCTTGTCCTTGGGAACCACCTGCACGTTGTTGGCGGCGTACCACTCCATGGCCTTTTTACCGTAATGGCAAGATGCCAAATCCGGCCGAAACAGTACGGAACAACCGTGTTTCTTCAGGAAAGGCAGCAGACGTTTATTCAAACACTCTTTCACGTAAATTTCTTGGTTGACAGTCCCGGAAGCTATGAAAATGCTGCTTTTCAAGCCACAGGTACAGATGGCTTGCCAAACCAGATATTTCTTTGCGAACTTTGACAGTTTCATGTGCTTGAAAACATCTGCTACCTTTCCCCTTCCTTTTGCCGTATAAAACTCCTGTCCCGGAAGCTGCTTGTAGTCGGCTTTGACGTAGGTTTCGTCGTCCATTACCACGCAGTCAAACTTCGTCAGCATCGTCGTGTACAGCCTCCGGGATCGCGCTTTGGCCGTCGTATTTTGTTTATCATCGCGATTTGGAGTCACTACCTTCTTGTAAGTCGATAGTCCGGCTCGTTTTTTGGCTCGATGCACGGTTGTAGACGATACACCCAGCTTATTTGCGGCATCTCGGAGAGAGAGGTTAGGGTTTCGCTTGAAACTACCGGCAACTCTCTTTGTCGTCTCAGCGGCTTCCGGTTTTCGATTTCCTCCGATCCAGACTTCCTGGCTGTCGACAAACGTTCCCCAAACACTTTAATTACATTTGTAACGGTTGATTTGGCAACTTTTAGCGATTTTGCCAACTTTGCGTGCGAGTAGCTCGGATTTTCGCGATGCGCGAGCAACATTTTGATACGCTGCTCTTCTTGCTTGGACGGCATTTTGACAACTGAAGAGTGAATTCCAAAATCAAAATAGGAGCAACATTCTACACACACACCTTCAAAATGAGGGGTGTTCAGGTTTTTTAAATGCAAAATTGAAAGAAATACGTCAAGTTGATATTGACCAAATTTTGACCTATCACCCTTTAAAGCATGCTACAAGTGTAAATAATGGTCTTCAGAACCCTCATATCTGTATTCAATTGCGGTCGTTCGCCAGCCTATGATTTTTTTTTTTCAAATTGGATCACAATCTACAAATGTTTGAGAACCGCTGCTCTAATGTACTGTCTATATCGTTCAATACAGAAAACGGGCCACAAGGAATCGAATCACAAATGCCCAGATTGTTCGCTGCAGTTATCCGGCAGAGCGCGCTTTCAAAGACATGTAACGAAATGTGCGACTTTGAAAACTCTTTGCGAATTTTGTGGTAAAATGTTTAAAGATGTAAAAGCTGTCGAAAAACATAGGAGCGACTCGCGTCGTGCATATACAAAGAGCAAGGAGCAAGGGCAGACGAATACCGAAACGAGCCTATGCGATGAAAATGATTCTTGTCCCGTAATGGAGAAAATGTCACCACCTCTAATTGAAAACGGTTTATCCAAAACAAAATGTTACTACTGCAACGAAGAGTTTTCCAGTCGAGGGCATTTAATTTATCACTTGCAAATTGTTCATGAGCTGACCAAATGTGGTATCTGCAAAATAACTGTTCTCGGTATATTGGAAGTCAAAAGTCATAAGGTTTGTTGCACTCACTTTTCTCAATTGCTATCAGGCTTAATTGCATTTTCAAATTGTTTCTTAGAATCAGTAATTTTAAAGAGGAGGAATTCTCACTCTTGTAACTTTGGCATTCAATAAATAAGCACTCCTAACCCAAATTTTCATTCTTAAATTAGAGATTAATTGCAACTTCTTGTCATCGCATATCAGTCCCATTGTAATCTGACAGAATAGGTTGTTTTCGTTCTGAGCAAAGATGAAAAAGATTAGACCAATTTGTCCCACCCGAACAATAATCGCACATCAGTCCGAGATGAGATTTTTTTATTAAAAATGTCTTTACTAAATATTTTAAATAACATTTTTGTTCCATTTTTATGTACCGTGCAGTGCCATAATTTCGTGCACAAAAGTTCCTAATTCCACGCATTTAAAAAAAAATTCAATCCAAATTTTTAATGAGGATATTTTGAATTAAGTGGAAATTTAAATAGGTATTATTGACTAGTGTGTGGATACACCCTATCCGATGAAAGCGGATTGAGAACCACCCTACGGAGTTTGACAGTTGGATTTTGTAGCAATAGTTAAGTGAATTTGAGGTATGTTTCATGTGTTATTATATCATCCGGATTTTTTTTTTAAATAAAATTTAACATATTTGTTGAATTTTTACTTTGTTACAATGAACATAAAACTGTTCTTTTTAGTAACTATCATGTGTATTAAACTTATTCTTAATTCTATACCATGTTGCACTGGTTGTTGTTAAGTTGAAGCCTTTTGTAGTAGATAGAGTTAGTGTGGAATAGAAATGAGTAGAATCGAGTGAGCGTGAAGCGCGATAGACCGTATGTAGACGGAATCTGATTGGTTCGGGAATTTCGATACAGCTAGAGGTATAAATATGAGGTACCTAAGCTTTTTGGCGGTCTCATTCTCTGCTTGATCGTCAAGCAGTTCAGTTCGGTGTTAGCTCGCTCTCTCGAGTTGTTTGAAAAGTTCATTGCGATAGTGTTCGCGCTCTCTCTTTCGCGGTTTGTCGTGCGTGTGTGTGTGCCCCGTAATGGGGAAGCATCGGTCGCGAAGCCCGGCGAAGGTCCAGAACCCCGGAGAAGGAAGCTCCGGTGTGCCTACCTCGAACAGGTTTGCTGTTCTCCCCATGGATGGGAATATCCTGCCAGCTGTGTTGGAAAAACGCAGTAAGAAGAGGAAGAAGAATCGAGGCCAGTCCGATGTCACTGCGACGAACAACAGCGATGTTGGAGATTTCGGTGACGCTGCCGAAACCGTGAATACTGCCGAAATGAGCTCGGCAAAAGTGAAGCTACCTCCATTGGTAGTGAAAAATGCCCATCTTAATGTGCTCATTGCGGATCTAGCGACACTGGGTGTAAAAGCCGAATACAAGTTGGGCAGAGTCGGCACTAAAGTGATGCTCCGTACCAAAACGGAGTTTGACGTGGTCGTCGCCCACCTGAGGACTTCCAAGGTGGAATTCTTTACCCACGACATTCCCGGTGAGAAGCCGTTCAAGGTCGTCATCAGGGGCCTACCAAACTTCGACCCGAAGTTTATCGAATCAGAAATCAGGGACCGGTACAAGCTGGCCCCAAGTGCCGTGTATCGAATGACAAGAAGAGACGAGAATGTGAAGGCGTATCCGGATAGCCTTTTCCTGGTACACTTCCAGAAGGGAACGGTGACGCTCAACGCACTGAGAGCCATCCGGTCCATCAATTCCATCATCGTTCGCTGGGAGCCATACCGTGGCGGCCATCGCGATGTGACTCAGTGCCAGCGGTGTCTGAACTTCGGACACGGTACCCGCAACTGCAACACTAAGCCACGCTGCGGAAATTGCGCTCAAGACCATGCCACCTCCGAATGTGCTGCGGATGAAGCTGTGGCGTCCAAATGCGCCAACTGTGGTGGTGCTCACCAAGGATCCAACAAGCAGTGCCCTAAACGCGAGGATTTCAAGCGCATCCGAAATCAAGCGTCCACCAACAATCAACCAGCACGAAGGAAGGATAAGGCCCCGGCTTTCAGGACAGAGGACTTTCCACCTCTTCGTGGACAAGCGAATCCCAGGGTGCGATCCACGCCCCCTCAAGAAACGTCTGGATCTTCTGCTGGACAAAGCTATCCATCCCCCCCTGGATTCTGGGGGCAACCAACAGCTCAAACAAACAATCCCGATCTGTTCTCAGCAGACGAACTGATGGAGATTTTTATCAACATGACCGGTGCTCTACGTAAGTGCCGCAATAAGCCCGAACAGATCCAAGTGCTCGGTAAGTTCATCATCCAATATGGTGTCTAAACCGCTAACCATCGCTACCTGGAACGATTGCTCTGTAAGAGCTAAACAGATTGAGCTTGCCGACTTTCTCCGCAAGCATAGCATCGACGTGGGTCTCCTAACCGAAACCCACCTAAAGTTCGGTGACAGCTTCTGGTTGCCTGACCACAACATTATCCGGCTTGATCGCACCAGCTCCAGGGGGGGTGGTGTAGCGGTCATCGTCAGAAAGGGAATCAAGTTTTGCACTCTTCCCCACATCCGCACTTCTATCATCGAGGCCATTAGTGTGGAGGTGGAATCACCAACTGGAAACGTCCGGTTCATCGCTGTTTACTGCCCACGCCAGTGTACCGCAAGCAACGGATTAGGAATCCAATTCAAGAAGGACCTGACCGCCATCACCCGTACTAGCTCCCGATTCATCGTTGGGGGCGACCTGAACGCCCGCCATGAAGCTTGGCGGAACTACCAGAGGAACCGAAACGGATGTCTATTGTTCGACCACGCACAACATGGACTGTACACAGTGCAAAATCGGACTATCCAAGCCTGAGGCGCACAACGATCTCAGCTCCGACCACCAACCGGTGGTGACTGAAGTCGGTGTCAACGTGGTTCCTGCTAGAGGCTGCCTGCGTAAAGACTACCACCATGTCAACTGGGTGCAGTACGGTCGAATAGTGGACAGCAACATCGATGAAAATCCACTGCTCGACACCGTAGATGACATCGACCGGGCGTTGGAAGGACTCCAACAGGCCATATCCGAGGCTGACGAGACATGCGTTCGACAAGTTCCTGTGAGGGGTAAGTTTGTTGCTATTGATTCCCACACCCAATTATTGATTCGATTGAGAAATGTGCGTAGACGCCAGTTTCAGAGGACTGGAGACCTGGGCAAAAAACGTGAAATGGCCGATCTGAACAGGCAGATTGCTTTTAGAATGGACTCACTCCGAAATGAAAGTTTCGGGCGTGTTGTCCAGAATCTGGACGACCGCTCCAGACCATTCTGGAAGGTAGCCAAGGTCCTGAAAAATCATCCCAAACCCGTTCCACCTCTCAAAGTCGAAAATGATGACGATCGGCTTTTAATCACCCCACAGGAGAAAGCAAATGCGATCGGCGAGCATGTCGCTTCATCGCATTTGCTTGGCTCGAATATCCAAAGTCCGCTCGAAGATCAGGTTGCGCAATGCGTTCAAAACCTAGATGCCTCCCCTTGTGTCGTGCCTCCGGCGGATATGATTACAGTACAACAAATTTGCTCAGCGCTGAAATGCACCAAGAACATGAAGGCTCCCGGGTTTGACGGTATATTCAACTTGATCTTGAAGAGACTCAGCATGAAAGTGCAGTCTCTTCTAACCGCTATCTTCAACAGATGTTTGGAACTGCACTACTTTCCAAGCATCTGGAAAGTAGCAAAAATCATACCGATCCGCAAACCCGGTAAGGATCCAACATTGTCTTCAAGCTACAGACCAATCAGCCTCCTTTCAGCGCTGAGCAAATTGTTCGAGAAACTCATTCTCAATCGTTTGCTCAAGTTTGTCGAGGAAAATAACATTCTCCTTCCGGAACAGTTTGGGTTCAGAAAGGGGCACTCCACCAATCACCAGCTAGTACGGGTGATGAATAACATCCGAAGTAACAAAGCTGTATCCAAGTCCACAGCCATGGCCTTGTTAGACGTTGAAAAGGCGTTTGACAATGTTTGGCATGATGGACTTGTGTACAAGCTTTGTAACTTCAACTTTCCTTTACATCTTATTAAAATCACCCGTAACTACCTCCAGCAAAGGTCGTTTAAGGTATCGTTGAATGGTTGTCTCTCAGACACGTTTTCGATCCCAGCAGGAGTCCCGCAAGGTAGTCTGCTGGGCCCCTTGCTTTACAGCATTTACACTTCCGACATTCCTCCCCTCGGCGACGGTTGCGTGTTTTTCCTGTTCGCAGATGATACCGCAATAGCCGTCAAAGGAAGGATGCCTCGCGAAATAACGAACAAACTTCAACGATGCCTTAACGCCTTTGCTGATTATGCCACCACGTGGAAAATCAAAATCAATGCCACCAAAACACAAGCGATCATGTTCCTCCATCGGCAATCGCCCAAACTGAAACCGGCTCCATCTTGTACAGTAATCATGGATGGCACAAGGGTTGAGTGGTCCGCCGAAGTAACCTATCTCGGGATGCTGTTCGATGAAAAGCTCCTCTTCCGTTCGCATGTAGAGAAAACAGTAGTCAAGTGTTCTGCCTTGGTTAGGTGTCTGTTTCCGCTGATTTGCCGCAGATCCCGCCTCTCAAGGGTGAACAAACTGGCCGTCTACAAACAAATCATAGCACCTGCGATCCTCTACGCAGCTCCGGTGTGGGAATCATGTGCACAGACTCACAGGAACAAAATCCAGGTAGCTCAGAATAGAGTGCTGAGGATGGTTCTTGATCGTCCTTTCGACACTAGAATAACAAATTTACATGAAGAGGCAGGCATTGCCAAAATAGATTCCAAAATTAACGAAATTAAGACAAAATTTGCACAAAAATGTAATTTATCAGAACATGCTTTGATAAGCAATTTGTATATAGTAGGTTAGGTGTACATAGTAGTTGTAGGTTAGTTGTAGTTGTAAATAGTAGTTATAAGTAGTCTCCTTTTTCAAATTTTCAAACAAACCAATCCCACCAAGGTGGTCATTCTCTA